GGCATCTACATGGATCACAGAGAAAAGCGCCTGTGGGTGGACAAGCTGTTTGTCAAACACTCTGTTTCCATTTAGCGTGGACAAGCGGACCACACAGGGCACAAAATGATCACCGGGAATGAGTGCCATACCCTTCGCTGACCGGTGGTCACCTTCAGACGGGAAGAATGTGCACCTTTCACTTTGATTTTGAAGTACGTGTATATTCACCTATCATGGTTGCCTTAGTTAAAATTAGTTGTGTGATATGTGATATTAATAACTAATACATTTTTGATTTTCATTGGATGTGGATTTTCTTCTTGGGTTCTAATTTGAATTATTTATTTGTTAAATGTATTGACATCAACACAACATTAACACAACATTAAAATCCACTTCCATTGAGGAGGCAAGGTTTATGACCAATACTGCAGCCAGCCACCAGGGGTCGATCGAGACGCTTTGGCCTTACTTTTAAGGAACCAGCATGTCCTACATCTAAGCCTTTAAATCTCATCTGACGTACATTACTTTCAACTCATGACTTGCAGATGTTAAATATTTTCCCTTCAAACTTTCTAAAATTACTTGTAGGATAATTAAACACAAGCGTTTGTTCTGTTTATCTGCCTGTGCAACGCAGACTGTATAAAGCTGCAGTTTTCATTATTTAATTTTTTTTATCCACTTTATAAAGCTGCAGGTGGTCATGTAATGGTTCTTTTGTTCCAACTGTTCCACTTACTGGACCGCATGGGAAAATTTAGATGATAAAACACTAACCTCCCTGCACAATTAATGTCAAAGTGCCCTTGAGCACAGCAGTTAACCCAATATTCTGTGGCAGGGGATTGTGGTTGTATTGAGTAATGACATCATCCAGCCTGTGTGTGTGTATGTGTGTGTACACTGTTTTCCAATCAGTAAACCAACACATCAAATAAGTATGTTTCTTAAAGTTATCATACCTGGTTAAATGAGGATTAAAGGGGGAAAAAATCTGTCTGACTTCGGGATTATTGACATCGACCAACCTGCTGATTTGAGCGTGCCATTATTGGCAGGGATAACAAGGAACATGAACTAATTGGTACTCACACACACATGCACATTCACAAGACAGATGGACCAAGCAGACACATAATATCTCATCGGCATATCATGGGGCACACACAAAAACACACACACACACACACATAACATAAGCCCCCTCCAGCGTCCCAGATAGACTGGTCCAGACCGGACCTGTCCTCACTCTGATGATTGACGGCTTGGCCTAAATGAACTGCTGCAGAGCTTTGTGCGTGTGTGTGTGTGTGTGTGTATTCAGAGCTGTAGGGGGCTACCAAAGTCAGTTATTGATCCAAAGGGCCCCTTAAAGCTACTAATCAAATGAAGCGGACGCTGAGGGGACACGAGAGGCACTTCAAAGTTTCTCAAGTTTCTTAGGCTTGTACACAAAATGCGCACACACAGACACACACGCATAGAAGCAAACTGAACAACAGATTGACAGTGTGTGTGTGTGTGTGTGTGTGTGTGTGTGTGTGTGTCTACACGTACCCCAACAACCTCCCTGTCTGTCTGGGCCATCCATCAGCCTCAGTGACTGATAGGTTAACTCCAGCAGGCCCGGCTCCGCAGATGGACTTTTCCCTGCCGCTAAAGCCCAGAGGGAGATGCCATCACTGTGCCAGTGCCTCTCAGAGAGGCTGGGCGTCTGGACAGAAGCCCTGGAGCTTTGAGGGGTGACACAGAGAAGGATCAATGGTAGACTTCAAGGATCTTGGGCCTAAAAGAATAGATGTGTATGTGTATATATATAAGATGATTGAGGACTGATGGAAATTTAGTAAAGATGTAAAGGTAGGATAGATAGATAGAAAAATATGGTTTCAAAAGAAGATCTATAAGACAAGTATGAATGTGCTGACAAACAACAACCAGCAACCAGCTGAAATAAAGCAACGTCTAAAAGATAAAATACGTCACAGGGATCGAATTTAGCTCATGAGTCAGTTCTGTGTCATTCCGTTTTTCCCCAAACCCCTCGGCTGCAGAATAAAGAAGGAAAGATTTACAATAATCTCCAGGAAGAATAGCAAATTGCAGCCATTTGGAAAAGACTACCCAGTGTGTTGCAATATGCCTTGGTGCAGACCAACAATACAGCATAATCACTGTTCCCACATCTGTCGACGGGGTTAATCAATGACTATACAGTGAGCGAATAGACTCCTGATTCCATATGCCCGGCAAAGAATAGACAATCATTGACTAATCAGAACTTGATAGAAGCCACCTAGGGTGGAGAGCAGCTGCTGTGCACAGCGAGTCCAACTGTAATCACATTATGTATTATTGATCTGCTCGAGCGAGGATTATGGGTTCAGATATTTCTACCGAGAATGAGAACAGTCACATTTTTCAAGGTCACATTTGAAAAATTGAAGAGTTGAGGCTGAACCAGACAACTTTGGGTTTATTGATATCAATCCATACTTTGATCCATGATAGAAAAAACATACATCCATTCCTTTCTGGCAACTTGAGGCAGAATAATTCTCATGAATACTTTCCTCTCACACACATACACAAAGTATACACACACAAAGAAAGACACTTGCTTATTAGAGGTGGTGCTTTCGGCATCAGAAGTGTAGCTGCAAACTGTCCACACTGCACTGCAGAGATATTGATGTCTTAATACAATAAAAAGCAAAATAAACATTATTATCCTGATCGTTATAATTATCTGCAGCCCAGAGGCTCAAACTGAATTATTCATAGAGTGCTTAATTAAATGGGTAGACTAGGCTGTGTGTGTCTGAATTACTATGTGTATGTGCGTCTCTTTTGCCCGATGCCTTTTGGACGGTTACGTTAAATGAGAGTAAACATTCAATCATTCTGGAGGGAATGAATGAGAGATGATGCAGTGACAGACACGGGGGGGGGGGGGGCAGCGTGCATGAGAGAAGATGAATGGATTACACGCGCATCCGCATTCGCCCTTCACTGTGGTTTCCTTTGAGGAAAAGGAAGACAGACAGCCGTTTAATGTTTCAGAGCGACAGGGCTTTTTTGTACACTTCTTACATTTAACAGCTGGCACAGTACGCAACCAGTCACTACACTCCACAGCGTCACTCATAAAGCCGTAACACACACACGCTCGCTCGACACAAAAGTGCGTAACAAAGCTGAATGCGACACCTCAAATGCAGTCAATAGTAAAGTCAAGGCCGCAGCAGTTAAATGGCAGCACAGCAGACAGTTATTACTTCTCTGTCACTGTGATTACTTTATCAACCACTGAATGAAAGTACTTCCTTCGGCCCAGTCACTGATATTACTCTTGGAAAATGTAGATGGAGTCACCGAGCCAAGGGCACACAGACACACAAACACAGCCTCTAATAGCGGCAGGCAAACTCTAATGTGTAACAACTTTTAGATGCAAAGGACTCCCAGAACCATCTGTTGCATGATCGACTAGCACGGAATTTACATATGTCCGCACTCAGTGACCCTCACGTAAGCAAATACAGCTGATATCTAAACATTGTCCGATGGAGAATGAACATGAAACGCACACATGCATATGAGATTTCTCACACAACTGCAGACGAGGAGAGGTCCCACTTATACTTTCCCCTCATACACATATAGTCATGTTGGGCCTCTGTCAGCGCTTGCTCTGTTTCTGTCATCTTTTCCTCAGATATTAAATGTGGGGCTGCTGCAACACACACACACACACACAAAATGTAAAAACCAACGACGTGCTGATGTGCCAACAGGCGTAGTCTGGATGCTGTGGTAATGTAACAGCCCATTCACTTTAATATGCATTAGAAGCAGGGCTGCTTTTTCAATACACCCTAATGACATTTGGTAGGGTCCACTAATCAGCCTCGCGGGACGCCCTGGACCCCTGCTGTCTCCCCAAACCTATTACACACACACGCACACACTATTCTGAGTGTAGGCATATACAGTATAAATATATATATATATATATATGTTCTGTGGAGTCTCCAAGGATGCGCTGCCTGGAAAGAAGATAAAGACAAGAGGAAAGATGCATTTTCGGTGTGAATGCATTGCACAATACATACATTTGTCACACAAAAAGCAATTTTGAACTGTCCTCCCAAGGCTAAAGTGAACATACTGTACACAATGAACAGACAGAAGGGGGGAAGGGGGGATTGAGATGGTTGGGGGCCCCTGGGTTTGAGTCATTATGCTGGCCTTACCTACACCACAGAATGATATATTACAACTGCTCGGTCTATGTTGTGTCCAAACTTTGGAGGTCATTTTTGAAAAGCTGCCACAGTAACAAAGAACAAGTGGACACTGAGCAGGGAGAGACAGCAAGGCCAGACATTATGGACACACTCTAGAACATGGGGACAAAAGACAATCAAAATCCAAGCTTGGATTGGAATTATACCCCACAACAACAACATCAACTACACTCATGTCAACTCCTACTAACAGCACTGTGTACTGTGTGACCGTCTGGCACAATCACACATATGCGACTGTAGCCGTGGGAACCACTGCCTGTAGTTCACTTCCAGTCTTTGCGTACAAAGAGGGGAATATCGCAGGTAGAAGTTCAGTAAAGTTGGCCTCCACGCGGAGCCGCGCTGTCATTTGCCTCCCCACTGAAAGCAAATGTTTTATTCCCTCATGAAAGCTTGTGTTTTGGTTACAAATTAAGTTGTGTGATGTCATAACAGATGACACAGGGAAACGGAAATCTGTAAATAAATATTAGAACTTGTTCGACTTAGTGCCACCATCTGGATTTGATTATAAGTTGTACTGTTTTTCTGTACATTTTATTACCTTAAGTCTGTTAAATATTTTATTTATTATTATATTTTATGTTGTTATTGTTAATATGATTGGTTGAGTGTCTTTACTATTGTGTTTGTGCTTTGATAACACGTGACTGTCACATCAATACAGCTAGGAGTAGAAGTAAATAAACAGGGACTCACCAGGACAGGTGAAAGTCGGTGGTGGTCGCACGTTGTTCCCCCCGTTCCTCCATTTCTCCTGTATTACTTCACCTAACTGTCAAATAAAGGCAAGACACGTCAAAATACACCCACACACACTTTTAGCATGGTCTGAACTAGCACTAGCATCGCTGGACAAGCTGGTGACGTGGCCCAGAGACACAGCAACAGTCAAAGAAAAGGTCCATAAACTCACCGCGGCAAACTTCTCTTCTCCCGGTTTATTTCCCCGCTGCTCTGGTGTTTCTCGATGTTCAGTCACGTGCGTCCTTTTGTTTTGGTCGACTTCCTGTCCGTGCTCAGAGCAGCTGCACACCTTGATGAGCTCCACCCTCTGATTGGCAGAGCCCGACCAATCAGGACAGAGGGATCATGACTGGCGTGAGACCCAACAAATCAAAAAGCCATGGTGAAGAGCGCCTTGATTAGGAAACTGTTTTTTCTCTCTATGAGGTGAATTTAATTCGTTCAGCCAGTTGTTTCAACAATTATTAGAAACATTATAAAGCTGTGAAAAACAAATAGTCAAGGAAAACTTTTAATTGACTGTGGTATGAACAGGTTTCTTGTTTTAGTGTATTTATATATCACTGGTATGTGCAGTTATGTGTCTACATTACATAATGTGTCCTTATTGTTTTGAAAATAAGCATTTAACACATTTAGGGAATTTAAAGCTGTGAATTTTTTATGACTTTATCTTCATTTACCATCACCTCCATATGGGCCATGTAAAGACACATGCACCAAGTTTAACATATTGGAAATATATGTGTATGTATATATATATATATGCAAAGGTTTCCAACTATATCCAAAACGTGCACACAAAACCACCCACACACACACACAAGAAAGAAACATGTAGAAAGATCCGGTTGGCAGGGTGCAGGAGCGGTGCCTCCACTGAATACTGAGTGATTAGGTTTAGAGTTTCAACCTTGGGGCAACAGGCTGAGAACATAGGGGGGTGTGTGTGTGTGTGTGCGTGTGCGTGCGTGCCCGAGGCCAGGAGTGTTATTGTACCAGTTGCTGAGAGTATTGTTTCAGCCCTGAAGTGTCTCTGTACACAGCGATCCGTTGACCCCTCCCTGAATGCTCTTAAAATTGTTTTCACCACCAAAGCTTTTGCACACTTTCCCATAATCACTTAGAGAGAGTATCACTTTGAGGGCAATTTCGCCAACAGAGAGGAACAAGGACGTTCTTTCATTACACTTTTATTTATCTTCCGTCCTCTTTGTTGTTTTTGTCATTAATTTTGGCTCTGTTACTCATGCCCATATCCACTGACAGCAATATTAGCACTCTATAATGTATTACTTCTATTCTCTTTTAACTTTATTCCCTTATTTTAAACATCAGTCTTATTATAGATTGCCTAATCTATTAGCTTAAGCACCTATTCCCTAATGTTGTGGTAAAAGGCAGATAACCCAAAAACATTTTGTTGCTAAAACATATTGCTTTTATTAATGATCGCTTGAAGCCTTTTACTATGGATTTGTATTATGAATTACAGTGAATCCATTAAAAGATTCCTTATATCAGCCACAGAATGTGCCATTAGTGTCCTCTGTGCAGTATAGCTGCATGTTTACCCTTCCTCACAGTGCTTATTGTCATCATTTTTCTTGCCAAAATGTTCCTTCAAGAATAAATCACAGCTGTAAATTAGGGTTTGTTTGAAGGGAACAGACACAATGGCTTCCCCTGCAGCCAATATGATCTCTAACTTACAATCCACCTAGAATGCCCTTTCCTTTTTTTTTTTCATGCTATAGAGCTAATCTAATATTAGCTCTGCTCGATGGAGGTAGATGACCTTTGAGTCAGGGTACTTTTAAGTCCGCCATGGCCTGAACAACTAATGGTGTATGTATAGTCCAAGCCAGCAAGCACAGAGAGCTTCATTGGCTACTTAATGGGGGCTGTTTAATCGAATACACCCCCTCACTCAATTTCCTTGTCTTTTTTTTATTGGTAATGATTTTCAAAGGGGAGAATCCACTCAGTGTGTGGAGGAGAAGGCAGAGGTGGAGAGGCAGATGTACACTCTGATCATGGGAGAGAGAGAGAGAGTGTGTGTGTGTGTGTGTGTGTGTGTGTGTGTGTGTTGTATGAGTGTGTGTTTGTATGAGTGTGTGTTTATATGAGAGAGAGTGTGTGTGTGTGTGTGTGTGTGTGTGTGTGTGTGTGTGTGTGGGGCCCCACTGCTCAAAGAGAATAAGACAATGGTGTTAGCTGCTGGCACTAAAGGCTTATCATCGGGGCCCCTCCTCAGCTAACACACACAAACACACTTACATGCACACACAAACACACACTCCAGCTGGGACGGTACCCAGTGACAGGCACTAAGACTCACAGATGCCCAGGTGGTGCAGGAAACCCTGGAGCTCTGCCCAGACTGGCACAGGAGAGACTGCCTACACGCTTAAAAGAAATGAGCGCACGCACGCTCGCACATATAGAGATGCACACCTATAGTCGCAACAGATTACACACACACACACAAGCTCATGTTCCTACCGACTGACACAAACGCAAAAAACCCCCCCAACTCCCCACCTTCTCGCAATTAACACTGCTCCTATAGCTGGAGGCACAGAGGAAATGAGGTTTTGGTTTTGTAACTATGCATGTGTGTGTGTGTACGTGTGTGTAAGACTGAGTTGTAAGAGTGTGGAAGGATTAAGGAGGAGGTGGGTGGAGGGTTATGGTTGGTGGAGGAAATATAATGTGTGGCATGGAACTATGTACTCAGGGTACGGTAATGACTGTGTGCGAGAGTCTGTGTGTGTCGGCGTCCACGTGTGCCCGGATGTGTGCGTACCCGTGAGTGTGCATATGTGCGCCTGCTTTAAGTCGTTCCCACCCATTCCCTCTCTAAGTATCATGTTCAGAGGCTGCAGTTCATTCCTGTCTGTCTGATTGTGTTGTTGTGCAGTCATGGCTAATTACCTTGATAGTCTGTTGACAGCATTGAGACAATTAAACAGCCAAATGGAAAACAGGACGGGGATCTTGTCTGAAATGTCCTCTCTGAGAGTTGAACCAAAAAGTGATTCATCTCCAACATGTGTTTATAATAGGAAATCGTTCACAGGCAAAAGGGATGGAGTTTGTTTAGCAAATTGGAGGATGCCCACTCCGATGTTGGCTCCAGCGTCAAAGTGGCTTTGTTTGTTGAGACATCTTCGTATATACATCTCAAAGTTTGAAGAGGAACAGTATTTTCAACATACTCATAAACTCCTGTGTATTCCAAAGTCACCTTGTTTACTCAAGCTCCAGATGCACACCAAAGACGAGCCATTACTTATTTTAGGTAGGCTGACAGCATCCAGTTTACTTTGACAGAAAAATCTGTCAAAGCAAAATAAATGAAATCCTAACCTGCTTTTTTTATATGTGGCCTAAAGAGCACAAGCGAGGCAGTCTAGTGTTGCGAGAAGAGAAATATGTGTTAGGCAATTCATTTTAAGGCTTTCATTTCATTATGAAATACATATTCTGAATGTCTGAATCTAATAGCGCACTCCCATGAATTTGGGCAACTCACAAGAAATAAATTCTAATAAACAGAATGGTCAAATCAAAGAGGCAATGTTGAGGTTTTTTCATTCTCAAGTATGCATCAAGCTAAAAAAAAAAAGTCCTGTGTGTAAAAATATCTAATAAAAATATCTAATAGCATTATCTTCTTTCTTTGGATGCTTCTTAAATGTTGTCTCATTTCAAGCCCCACACATCGACAATAACATTTTTTAATTTACACAGGATCAGAGTCCATTTTTGTCATCAGGCTAATTTAACTGATTTCAACGTGTTATTGAACACTACTTCAATTTTTAAATTAAAAAAAATTAAATTGTAAATTACTAAAAAATAATAAGTGCACTCAAATTTGAAATATTAACACTAAACTTAAAGTTTATTTTGATTTAAGTATATCTGTTGTGTGCACCCACTTAACGTAATGAAATTTTACAGATGACCCAGGGACACATACATTTTACCTAACAATTTTTTCAGCACAGCTTCTAAATCAGGCTTCCAAACCAAGCTAAACATTAATCATCTAGGTCTTTTCTAAACTTGTACACATCCATCGTTACGAGTAACCTGAACGTCCTGTATAAGTGCTCCTTTAATTATCTCAACAACAACTTTGACTCTTTTTTTGGAAACATTGCCATATTTTTTTCTCTGACCTTGTATTTCTGTGGTCTGGACTTTATTTACCTCCACCCCCCTCAGTTCTTTTTCAGACCACCGTTTGAGGCCACGGCGAGATGTTTAAACATTTTAAAAACAAGCCGGCTGTGCGTGAGAGCAGCAATCATGCTTACAAATCCACCCACATTGTTTGAAGAATTATCCTTCAGAATGATATTCTACACCTGCATGGTTACAGTGCAGGTTTTACATAATCAGCCTAGCTTTTCTGAAACCATATTTCTCCCATCTGCAGATTTCATGTATAATCTTCGCAGTAACTGAGAAATATGCATTTATATAAGGCAGGTCTGTCCCATAGGTGATAGCAGCATCTATTATGTACACTTGGGACATACAAGTGGAATTTGAATAAACATGATTAGGGAATTAAGAGGGTTGGGGGGGTTAGTGACATTTGAAGGAAGGGGATGAACTGAGAAGAGCTTTAAAGATGCATTATGGGATTTCTAACAATGATTCCCGGCAGTTCTCATTAGATAGAACGCTTTTGATGCAAACAGAGGCAAACAGGAGAGGGGGTGACATGGAACAAAGGTGAGCAGAATTTAAGTCCACAACATCAGGCATAAATTGCACTACATGTGTTGGCTGAACAACCACTTCACCCTTGGGAGTAAATAAATCGTGGGTATGCACACAAAGGCTCTAATTGTTGCCTGTGAAAAACAATCTCTTCACAACCTCCTGCTCCCAGCAACATCCAGTGCCATTGTTGCCGCAGCGTTTCAGAAGCATACAAATATTCTCAAATGGATTTCAGCCTCTAATCGTGATCAATCTGTGTCGAGAGCACCGTCGACATGGTGTCGCTAACTCAGTGGAATAAACATGAGCGGGGGGGGGGGGCGGCCGCAGGGCGAGACTGGCACTGCAGTCGATGTCGTTACTGGTTCCAGATTGGATCCTCAGGGGTTGTGGCGGGTGCAGGGTGAACGGGTGGTACAGTTGGCAGGGTTGGCACACACACACCCTCAAGCCCTAAGTATGCGTGTGTGTGTCTGGCTCTTGGTGTGTGTTGGCAGGATGTGTGCTGGCAGCACCTCACCCCTCGTCTG